TGATGACTTTCTTTTTTTTCTTCCAAACACCTAAATATAAATAATAAGGAACATTGTGTTATTTACACTGTTATATTGGATATATAACTCATAAAGACAATAAATGATTGTGATGGAACATCCAAGTATGTACAAGATGTATTTACAAAAATAATATATACTTAAAATGATATGTGGCCATTGCATTTCCTGCATTTCTCTGCAGCATTTCAGATTGGTTGAGCATCAGCCATTGTGGCTATTACAAATTCAGCCGAAAACAGACTCTGCTTATGTCGCTTATTAAAGATGTGCAATTTAGCCAGACATCTAAATATTCAAGTAGCCACTCCATGCTTTGATATCAACCATGGGAAAATATGGGTGTGATGATACTTCAACCTTTAAAAAAAGAACTATACATTATTTGTTATCCATTAGCCACTAATAGTGGCTAACATGGCTTAGCTTACACAGAAAAAGATTGTTGGCTGATGAAAATGTATATGTGCAGAGATCCCAGATACCCTGTTCTATGTATGCCGCATCCAGTCTAGAACTTTAATTGGTGCATTTTTTTAAGATAACAAACATGAGATGTCTGAACTGAACTGGAGCATCAGCTACATTCATAAGAGCAATTCTTTATTCTGACTGCTGTTTCACTTGACATAACTTTTTTTTTCCAAATTAAAGATTAAATAGAAGTGAGTAGAAACACCACACTCAATACATTTATGGAATAACGTTTGAATGCATAAAATAAAATTGCCCTGAGAATTGAAATTGCCTTTCAATCATATTTTTCTTACTACACTGGATATTTCTACGTAATGTTTTGTTTTATGAAATGGGAATTGTTGAGAGGAATGGCTTATAACCCATTCTTGCTTATAATCCATAGCTATTCTTCACACTACTATTGAGGTTAACACTTATTTGTCATGGATGCAGCATTGATTTATAACTGTAAATGCACTGTCCACAGCTTAATTATCTAGATGGAATGTTCTTATTGTCCAAAACCAACTCTATCACAATTCATTCAATTGTGCATTACAAAATGATGAGAAATCAAGCAATATTCATGCACAAACTAATCTGGACACATCAGTTGACAGAGTAAGATATTAAGCTAAGTGGCACAGAAGTGTTACCCATTACAACAGGGCATGCATAGTTTCATTATGGACTGAGGGTTGCATTGGCCAGCTCAAGTTACCCTACCTGAAGTCTGAAGGGACCCAGCATAAAATAAAAGAATTAGGACCAGAGCAAAAATTCAAGTCAATTTAATTTAAATTTAAGTTTAGTTGAATGAATTTAACTGCAGTTACATGATTACTTCCCATTAATTTAATTGCATTTCTTTTCTGGTAGAATTGTAACTGGTTTAGAGCCATTTTTCAATGTACGTGCAATCCTGATCAGTGCATCTTCCTTAAAGCCATATTACATTAATTTAAACTCTCTCCCTTGCCCACATTGTTTTCACATATTTTAAAAGGCAGTATTATAATCAAAGGAACTATCCTTGCCTATGCCTATGAAGTCACCAGGAGTTGAGTTCCACTCAAAGGAAATATCCAGTAGGGACTCAATGCCAGGGCAACAGACTCAAATGTGAGAAGAATCCACTACGGCTTTTCCCCCAGTCCACTAGCCCAGAGTGAGATTCAGCAGCAAGGCAAGGCAATCAAAATGCATGGATTTTCTCTTCCCAGGTTCCTCTGGGGATCCCGCCTTCAATATTGCAAGAAAAGTTTTGAGAATGATGAAGTGCATCCAAAATGCAGGGAGATCAGGTTGATGCACCTATCAGTTTTGTATTGGTAAGCACAGAAAGGAGAACATGAGACAGTCCTGCATAGATGAGTTTTAGTTTCAGAAGAATGAATGGAAAGACAGTTAAAGATTAAAGGGATATTAATGTAGTGGAAATATTGTCTGCCCTGGCAGGAATAGAATGCATTAATGTATTTAAAAGAAAGGAATGTGTGCAGAAGACTATTGGAAGAACGTGATAAGACTGGTGAAATGTGTAGTCTCTAAAATGCTTTTTAATCTATACCATACGCTATAGAGTCGGAATAGTCTTCCTGAAATCTGAAATTATTTCTTCTGTTTTCTTTTATATTGGAGCCCCAATATACTCTATCAAGCACTCAAAATGAAATATATACATATCTGTTTCACTATTTCCCCCCGAATAGCCTACACACAATAGCCTTAATGACTCTGAAACAACAGAAAACCAAAGGAAGATTACTGGAAGAAGTATGCATATTAATAGCAGAGTCCACAATGTCAAGGATTGGTAATATTCTGGAAAACTTTCTCTGGTCTGTCCAACTTTATGCTTAAGAAAGAATGTCCCTGCTCATTCTTCTTCCTCTCTTAGAATATTTGGCATCTTAGCCAAACAGTTCCTATAAAATAATCGAGTTTTGGAAAAGGGTTTATGATATTTGGAAAATGCTTAGAAATAAGAACCTCCTAGAGCAGGAGTACCCTACATCATCAACCTTGAGACCTGTGCACCCCAACTCCCAGAATTCCCCAGCCAAGCATGCTGGCTGGGGAATCCTGGGAATTGAAGTTCAGAAGTCTTAAAGTTGCCAAGGTTAGATGCCCCTGCGTTAGGGGGTTCTTCAAGCAATGCAGGAAAAAAACGTATTTTGTCAAGAGAAAGGGAATGCAATTGAAGCCTACAAGTGAATATTAGGCAACACAAATAAAGTTATGAATCAGAAGTCAACACCAGAGTTTGCTTCAATACCCAGCTGAAGTCAATGTGATGATTTGGAAACTCGCAGTGAATGTATGTTACATCATGGGAATGTGTTTTACTGGTGCTTCTGAAATGTAAAAATCATTTTATAGCACAATTCTAACCAGTGTTATGCAGAAGTCTACTCTACTGTATAATTATTTTCCAATACATAGGACTAGAATTGCCCTGTTAGCCTCCTGTAATCAAGTTAACATTCTCCAAATTAGGCCTTCTGTGAAGATACCAGTATTAAGCAAACTTGAGCACTGGGTATAATTTATAAAATACTTTTTAACTTGCTGATTCTCCCAAAGCTCAGCAGCACTTATGCAAACCATTTTGCTTTTCATTTACAACAGTATCAACTGGACATGATTGCCAATGCTAGGAAGGCCAAGAGAATAGATTTGTTAGTCTTTGGCCTCTGGGCTGCACTCTATAGTACGATATAAATCAAGGCTAATTTTATCCCAGATTCAGGTCTCCAAAATAAATTGCTGGCTTGTGAATTAAGAAGCTGCAGTAATGCTGCTGGTGGTGCCAAATTAAATACCAGACCTGTTTGTATGAACTAAGTCTGCCTAAATGATGCAGAAAGCAGGGTAAGAGGTTACATAGTTGGGGGAGAAAATCATAGCATAGATGATTACTTTGTTCCTATCTGCAGCACAGCACTCTGTTCCTCCTGCCTCCTTTTCCTGTCCCCCGAGGAATACATTCCACTTAGACAAGCTTCTTTCACCTGCCTTGATGTTTTTGCCCTAGAAATAGAACCCTTCTAAGTGATTGGGCCAAACTGGAGTTTAAACAAATGCACTTGCTCTTATCATGTCCAAATTGTTTCTCCAACATGCCTCGAAGAAAGGCGGCTTCTACCTATTTCTGGCCGCATGCATATATTTATATATATATATATTTATATAACAAAAACCCATGCATGACGGGAGCCTGAGAAGTATAAACATGCTCATCTTACTAATACTTAGGTAAAAAACGTAATAGGTCACTAGGCATACAGAACATGTTTATCTTTTTCTATCAGAGCTCATTTTACGACATTTGGATTCCATCCATATGTAAACTAGAAAATTTAAGCACACAGGAAGTGATAATCCACTGTGAAATCCTATTTTTGGTATTGATCTTCCCAATTTAAAGTGAAACAAAAAAAAAAAAAAAAGCTCTACCTGAAAATATTGTTTCAAAATGACCGTAACTTTAGCAGTGGGTATTACATTTCCTCTGTTTTTATCCACTTCCTTGATGGTCTAAAAATACCTGCTCTGGTACTACAATTTACTTAACCCAAGATAATTCAGTAGCACATTCTCCTATACAAAAGGACACCAAAGCAAGAAACTCCTTGCTCTTGGACCCATCCTATTAATTTAAAAGATGCTTGCATAGAAGGGCTTCCTGCCAGATTGGATCCCACTATGTTTCTGTCAAATCACTGTGAACATCTAGGAAATATTGTTACATGAATCAAAACTATGTGTGTGCATGTCCATGTGTGTCTGAGTGAAAAGGTTGTTGGTGGTAGCAGTGATAGCTCCTATTTAAATTCAGGTAGATTCTTGGGTAATTATAGTGAATTGGACAAACCTACAGGGGTATCTAATATTGGATATAGTTCTATGTTTCTGAAAGCTGTATTATCCTTTAAGAAACCAAATAAAACAACGGCAGGCTATTGAACCTACCCATTTTCTCAAGGGTTCCAAAATCAACCTTGTTTTTTGTCAGAGAGAAACTCATAAAACGCAAGGAAATAGAAGCCTCTTCAAAGAAGAAATGAGCATGTTTTGTTTCTTGGTTGGTATGCCAGGATGGATTTTTCTTTTTCTTTTATCAGAGCTACGACAAGCAAGACAGGGGAAGGTTGCAGTTCTTACAGACCATACAGCCAGCCACCATGAACCCGATGGGAAACAGACTGTTAGAGACTTCTGCAAAATACTGTGGAACAGCAGTCACTAGTAACTTTTACAAAACTTGCTCTCAACATAACATAAAGGCACCATTGATATCGTTCTCATTTTTGAAATACTGTAAAAAAATTGCTACATATGGCACATAACACTTTTGTATATACATTATATATTTTAATTTATAAAAGTTTTTTCCCCCTCCTGTGTTTTTCTTTTTAAATCCTAATAGCGTAATTGCTAAAATAAAATAAATTGTTTTAATTTAATCATGGAGTATTTCATTATATAAAATAAAGTTTTACATGTGAATCTATGTGGGTTTTTTTTTTAAGTGTTTTTTTTCCCTCTCTCTCTCTTTTCCTTCTCCTTTATACAGCGATGGGATCCTGGTTAGCTATTACACCAGACAATCTTGCTTGATATTCTTCCTGCGTCGAGAAGCGGCTGGCTTGGTTAGTCCTAGTGTCAGTGAGCCTATATGCAGCAGCTGATTCTAGGTCAGCGGTTGTAGGGTTTTGTATGCTCAGAAAAGGTGTGTCTTCACCTATCCTTTCATCTTCTGTCTCACTCTCTGAGCTACTGTTCCCACAACTCGTGTCAGTGTTCATTTCCAATCGAGTGGAAATGTGGCCATTGGGCTTTGTTCTTTTGGCCCTCCGACTGTTGACCAGTTTCTTTGGAGGCTCTTGTGTAGGTTCATATTCCTGCGTGGTTTCGTATTCCTCGTCCTCGACTATCCTCATGGGACTCGGTGGTAGGCTGTTGCTTTCATGGACAGGATTGTGGTGGTAAGAAGAATTGAACTGTTGTAAGTGAAGCTCGTATTTTTCCCGCAGCCTGGGTGGGGTCACCAACAGGAGAGGCCTCTCTTCTTCTATAAATGGACTGACAGCTACAGACGGGACAGACATTGTTAAACTGGAGACTTGCGGTGACATTTCTGAAGCTGGTGATTTTGGAGAACTTGGAGTGTGGAAATCTACAGGAGACATGCGAGCTGGCGTGGTCATGGCAGATACGTACCTAAAGAAGTACACATTAAAAAAAATAAGCTGAAGAATAAGGATGTGATAAAACTATGATGGTGGTAAGAAGTATTTATTCTTCTATGATGGTAATAAGCATTTGAATTCAGAATGTAACAGCCACATATTCTGTAAGTAGAAATGCAACTTCTACAAATTGCTACTAGCTATACTGAAATTTAACTTTAACTTTAGCTAAAAAAAATTAAATGATCATTTATTCACTTCTCTTGATTTCCAACATGTAAATCCAATGCCTGAAAAGATGGAATATTGGCAATGCAACTCAATTTAATCTATGATTTATTCTAGCCTTGGAATCTCTTGACATTTCTAAAGATATAATGGGGCTCCTGCTACTAGCCATGCAGTGTTTTTTTTAAAGAGTGTTTGAATCTCTTCCTTCTTCATTGTCTTTTTAAAAAGATTTCCATCTTATTGTAAGCAACTGCATTGAATATATCTATCTAAAGTTTAAGATTAAGAAAGATTTCATGGCCATTTGGGAATAAGACCCAGAGCCAAGAAGACTTTGGATGTTCTTCAGCATTTCTTGTTTTGGTCTTCTACGAGTACAATGTCAACATGCAAAATTCAAATAGTTTCATTATCCCAATTTTTATTCACATTTCCAGGTTTTGTAGCTATTAAAAAAACCCAGGCTGAAATATAGATAATAAAAGCTACTCTAGAGAGTTAAATATTTAAACTTTAATGCTCACAGAATTAATGGCCTGGAAGTGCAAATAACTAGAAAGGAATTGTGCAATTTTATACTTTTAAAAATTGGTCCAAAAGCAAATGTAAGTATTGTAGAGCAATGGGACTCCACCTTTCAGACTACTTCTATAATAAAATAGTCAAACAGTACCAAGTGGTATTGAGGAGAGTATGGCTTATTTATTTATAATTTATTTATTCATTTGATATTTTTGCACTCTGTGGGATTTTACCTCATCAACTAGGAATCAATGAAAGCACAGGTCAGCTTCGCTTTCCAGAAAGGAAACAAGATGATGCTGTTAGGTGAAGGAATGAGCCAATTCAGTCAAACATTCTCCACAATCCAGATACTTTTATCAGAAATTAATAATATGTAAAACTAATATGCAGTAAATATGTGAAGATTGTATTGATTCATGGATTCTGGTATTGTCCCAAATAGTAGAGCTTTGTTTACCTTCTCATCTTTATTTTGAAAGGAAGAAATGCTTTTAATTTGCCTATCTGTTCAATACAAGTTATGAATAGCCAATTAACAAAATCTTATTAAATGGAAAAGAATGCAACTTCATTTAGCACTGACTTTTAAACATTCATTTTCAATTCTTGTCTAGTTATATTGCTATTGTGGTTGTTTCTCCACTCAAACTGTATTTTTTTCCACACTTTTAATATAAATTGCACCCATTGATCACCACATGCTAAAGTGGTGAAGATGATTTTGGCCATTTTTTCATGCAAAACTAATGATATGTTCTAGAGTTAACCAGTGGTGATATAAGGCATAGCTTTCCCACCATTACATTGGCACAGTGCAACTACAAAATCATGAGGAAATAGCTTTAAAGAAACGTGGATTAACTGTAAAAAACAACAGATAAAAAACCTTTCACAAAAGCACCAAAGCACTATGAAAATGGCAAATTATTATATAAATATTAAGGTACAAAACCACCATTTAGAATTTATTGATCAAAAAAATAATATTTCCCCAAATAAAACCCACCAACCCTGATAAGCTGCAGTTCTCTCTCTGTCAGGATCTGGATATGCCCTACAGTAGGCAGTGGTGGCGAACCTAAGGCATGTGTGCCAGAGGTGGCACCCACAGCCCTCTCTGAGGGCCTGCGTGCCATCACCCCAGCCCAGCTCCATCGTGTTTCTCACTGTCTCGCCAATGGGGGAGACTGGGTCCCTTCCTCCTGGAGCCCATTACGACGCAGACCCACAAGCCGACGCTGTGTCATCGTGGGCTCGCTTCTACATCCTGGATGGTCAGTGGCTTTTCCTGCAGAGCTGCCGGTGTTGTGATGCCCCACCACCTCTCCACCGGCCAGCTGATTGTCAACGTGCTGCTCCTGGGATTCCCACCACCCAGCACCAGTTCAGGGGTTCTTTCCCCCCCAGGAGAGGGGGAGAGAGACAGAAAGAGAGGGAGTGAGGGAGAGAGAGAGACAGAGACAGAAAGGAAGAGAAAGGGGGGAAAGAAAGAGGGAGGGCAAGAGAGAAATGATATTACAAAAGTTTTTATTTTTTATCATTGCTAAACATAATATTTCAAAAGCAGAAAAAAAAAGAAGGGGCATAAAAGTGCATTGATCACGTGTTTCTTAGAATAATTAGCTGAACTCTGCCTTATTTATCATTATTTTAGGTAGTAAAACCTCAGTATTCAGGTTAAATTGCCGTGTTGGCACTTTGTGATAAATAAGTGAGTTTTTGGGTTGCAGCTTGGGCACCCAGTCTCTAAAGGTTCGCCATCACTGCCCTACAGTATTTCAGATTGGTGTCTTTCTTAAGATCAGCTCCTGTGGATACCTTTCACTGTGCGGTGAATCACGGTAAGAGTCTGGTGTCTCTCGTGCGTGCCGGAGAAAACTGTTGTATTCTCTTGGTCCACCAATGCCATTGAGGCGACCGCGAGGTCCTGAGGGGCTTGCATGGCGGCTGTTCTCAACTGAGGAGCACACAAGGGCTGAATGACTTTCAGAGATTATGCTTTCAGTCCGACCATTACTCCAACTGACCATGAGCCGTTATGAAAAACAGAAGAGAAACATTTTAAAATTCAAGAACTGGAAAGTGAAAAGAAAGAGAGCTTGACAGGGTCCTCTGTGCATCTGTTGGACAATAGTGTTTCACATTCATTATGTTGCTGAAGAATTGAGGTGATCATTCTCCCACAACTGCTGGGAATATAAAAAGATAATCACTCAATCTTAAAACTAACATCATTTCCAAGATTTTATTATGACATAATGAACAATGCCAGAGAGTAGAACTATTCTATGCAGAGGTGGGATTCAATTTTTTTAACAACCGGTTCTGTGGGCCTGGCTTAGTTGGTGGGCAGGGCTTGGTGGTCATGTTACTGGTTGGGCATAGCCAACTCAACATCACTCACATCGAGGCACACATCTCCTCACCTGGTCTCTTGTGACTGTGGGGATGCTGCCACAGTCGTAAGTGTGAAAAATGGTCATTAGTCACTTTTTCAATGGTCACTCCACACAAGCAAATTATCAGCAAAGGAGGGGGGGGGGAACTCCAGAGACATTCCTGAGATAGGAAGTTTAGTCCTGCCAAGAATGTAATAAGGGTTAACGGAGAGGCAGTTTCTGTAAGCAACACCAGAATGTTTCCTTCCTGCCTTCCTTACAGGATTAAGCCAGTAATTTCTTCTAACAACTGCTTCTCCAAACTGCTTAGAATGTTAACAAGCGGTTCTAGCGAATAGGTGCAAATCTGTAGAATCCCACCCCTGATCTGACCGGTATAACTACCGGTTCTATTGCTCTGTGTTGCACACGGATGCGTGAGTCATGTGAGTGCAATTTACGACCTGCTGAGCTGCCCGGACAGCTGAGCAGCGCTGCGTGTGGGTGCGCAGAGGTTGGAAAAGCCCTTTTTTCCTGCTTTTTCAACCGCAGCTATGACGCACAAAGCAGCTGAGATTGAAAAATCAGGAAATAAAGATCAGGTAAGAGCCCGGGTGGGCGGGTGGGCAAAAACATCAGCAGACATAGAACTGGTTCTATGTCTGCTGCTCTTCAGAGCAACCGATTCTACAGAGGTGGACAGAACTGGTAGAATCCCACCCCTGATTCTATGTCAAGCAAAGACAAATTATGTACATGAAAGAATAATGATTCTTTCCAAGTAAATTCAGGAACTCATCATGGTCCAAATGTAGTACTAATTCCAAATTAATGGTGTGATGTGAAATCCACAGAAAACAAGGCAGCAATTGTGAAGAAGTGAGCTAATATGTTGATACCGAGACTTGCTTCTTTTGAAAGGAAAAAATAAAACAGGAAAAAGAATCAAAGAAGGAAAGTAAGCTTAATAAAATAAAGCAACTTAGAGCATTTCAACTACAAAAGAAGTCCATCACCTTTAAATCTGTTTACTGTTTTTAAAACTTGCTTTGGGGGTTTTAGTTAAGAAATACGTTGGCTTTATCTGAGCCTCCTACCTGTGGCTGGGAGTCTGAGTGACGGTTGTAGAATGATGTGTAGTTGAGGTATAGTGACTTGTAGAAAAAGATGCCTCAGTTTCTCTCTCAACAGCATGTTCACTGGATATTATGTTTTTAGATACATATTGCTAAACAAAACAGACACACAACTTATATTTATAACACAATTAAAATCTACCAATCAATTCTGTACTCTTGCCTTAGACCTTATATCAGGAGTCTTCAAACTTGACAGCTTTAAGACTTGTGGACTTCAACTCCCAGAATCCCTCCTCCAGTCATGTTAGCTCAGGAATTCTGGGAGTTGAAGTCCACAAATCTTAAAGCTGTCAAATTTGAAGACCCTTGCCTTATATAAAGCAGGGATGTCTGACCTTGGTAACTTTTAAGACTTGTGGACTTCAACTCCCAGAATTCCCCAGCCAGCATGGCTAGGTAGGGACTTCTGGGAGTTGAAGTCCACAAGTCTTAAAGTAGCCACGGTTAGACACCCTTTCTTTATATATACACACATGAAAGCATTTCAAAAATTGAAGATGTACTTCTCAAATTCAATACTTTATTCTCATGAGAAGACACTTTCCTAGAATTAATTCAAATTAAAGTAGAGTGATTCGGTGGAAACAGTAGTTTATTTTTTATTTATTTATTTATTTATTTTATTTGTCAATCGCTTACAAGATAATAAGTATAAGTATAAACATGAGTAAGAATACAGGAAATAGGTACAAATAAATGGGGACAATATGATAGGGATGGTAGGCATGATTGTGCACTTATGCAAGCCCCTTACAGATCTCTTAGGAATGGGGTGAGATCATCTGTAGAATTCTTTCACCAAAACAAATTTATTTTAATGGCATTCATGGTTAGGAATAGGACTATTGCTGAGCAGTATGAATGATAGATTTCCCTTTTTCCTTGTTTTGCTCACTGTATTTTTGCAATCTTAATTGTTCATGAAGTGCTTGGTCCAATTTATAATCTGAAATTTTAGAGAACTATTTCACTAGATCTCTCAGTTCAATGAAATCTGTGAACAGAGAAGCACCACAAAAATTCCCCTCTCTCTGTTTTTGCTTAAAAACCACTCTAATTTCAGATGATTTCTCTAGCACATTCATCCTAGCCCACATTTTCCTTTGATATTCTTTCTACAGCGACTTCCACCCCATCTTGCTACAAGAAGGTTCTGAAGACAATTTCATTCAGTTGGAACTAGTACTGCTACGATAGTCCCAAAATTTAGTGTGGCCACAAATGCTTTATGCAGAAAATTGCTCCTTTAATTTGTGAAGCATAATGTAAAAATCAATTTATACCTCAACTCAGTGAGTGACACCATCAGATTTGTATGTATGCACACATGCTGTGCATACTGTATACATATAAACACACAAATACTGTATAGGCATATACATGCAGGTTCACATAGCACTCACTAGGTGAGTTTTTAGTACTTTATTCATAAAGTACTTTTACAGTCCTGGTATTAGTTTTTAATATATTTCTGTTTATTGGTAGTTTTTTCAGTTATATCCTATTATTAGCATTTATAGAGTGAACCATTTCTTCTATTGTTATTGATTTTAGAAATGATTCTTCCTTTTAATTTGAACCTTATAACATCTCATAAAATTATACAAAATGCTGTTTAGAGATAATAACAATAAAGATTATAATAGTAAAATAAAATGGTTTCTTTTGTGGATAATAATTTATTATTATTACTATAAAATTTTTATCCAGTGTTTTCTACACATAATTCACGGTAGTGAACATACTTAACATACTTGTCTCTGATTTCCCCCCAGAAACCAACAACTCTACCAGCATCTAAATATAATTTCACAACTGTTTTCAGTTAAATCAGCTACTGCCATTGTTTTGACAAACTGGTGTAGGAGATGTCCAGGCTGAGCCTGAAAGGAGGAGTCAAGCATGTCATCAGCCTTGAGTCCCTTTGTGCACACAAGAGGTCTTAGTCAGCCCACCTTGAATTCCACTGACTCTTATCTACCACCTATTTGTTTTGACTGTTAGTAGTTCCGATTCTTGCAGCGGGTGTTACCAAGCAATAAACCTGTATTCATGTGAACCGCCTTGCTTCCTGGTTTCTTGCACCTTACAACTAGTGGGAAAATAAGATCTTAGGAAAGCGGTACTATTTTTTTAATACATTGTTAAAAGGACTAAATGTCACTCAAATAAATATTGATGAAGAACTGATTATTAACAAAGTTTGTGTGAAACTCACATTCACCAGCTGGACATTCTCCGGCGGTGGGTGAGGATGGTGAGGCCCATTTGCCATGTTGACCCTGTGATTGCGTTCTGATCGAAGGCCTTGCCTGAGGCGGTCATGCAACTTTTTCCGCTGCTTCCTGAATTTGAAATATGGAGGTACTTTAGAATTCAAATAGTTGACTGAATAAAATAGTTCTATAAGCCTTTTTGATCATAGCACATTCCCATTACAGAACTGAATTTTATCATTTGTAGATTCAGAAATACCAGGAGCTGATGGTGCCAAAATTACGAGAAGATTTGTTCACAGATAAAGTTGCTGATACAGTATCTGGCACCTTGAAACTATACCAATCTCATCTAGTAGCCAATTACAGCGCAGTATCGTATGAAGATGCTACAGAAAGCAGATTGTACTCCAGTGGTTTATAATACATGTAGCCAAGGGCAGGTTATTAGATCCAGAGGAGTAGAATTTTCTAGGAAAGTAGCTTTTTTGCCCTTTCCTGTATTTTCTGGCAATAACAGCACACTGGAAACCTTATTCCCTGTGGCTAGGTCTTTGTAATATATCCGGAACAGGAACCCGTTGGAAGACCTTATTTTGAACTCACCAGCTAATTTGTTGCCTGCCAGCAACCAATAATGTACAGCTGTGGGCTGTGTGTTGGTTTTTCTAGAGCTTATTTGTTAGGCAGTTTACTTTTGTCGGTAAAGATATAGAAGAAAAAATGTAAATTCTTCTAAACATAAAAAATATCAGAAATAAAAAGGTTCTACCCCGCATGGATTCAAGAAATGATCTCGATTCTGAAAGAGGCAGCGATTACTGGCTGAACGTTTTCAACGAATTCATTTATTAAAAATGCTGAATCACTCACTGACCTCTCCTGCCCCCTTGGATGAGAGAACGTTACATGTTTAGTTGCACATTCAGCTGGGCTGAAGATATGTGCTTGATGTTAGTCCAAACATACAACAGCATCCACACCATATATTACCTTTTATTTCAATAGACGGGGAGGAAAACCCCCCTTTCTCAAGACTGGAAATAAGGCCTCCCCACCCACCTAAATGAAGTTGCTTCCATTATCTCCACCTACGGAAAGGAAAATAACACCCCTCTTTTGCAGAAAACCAAAGATAGCAGGTAGAAAATCTTCAGGGACAAGATTTTAAAGAAAGGAGAAACAGTGTTACCTATTCTCAAAGTCCTGCCCTGATGTCATTAAGGAGAAAGGAAGTATATATGAGGTGTGGGGGGGGGGGGAATCTAATTACTGGGCCAGTTTCCTGCTTTAAACCCTCAAGAGATATTGAACTAGCATGATTTTGGTTTTCTCAAATCAGAGGTCAGCAGCATTTTTAGACTTAGTATTATTTAATAATTATTATTTTGGCTAAGGTTACACCAGGAAGGCAGTTCTTGTTGTGGGGGCGAGTGGGTACTTAAAAATAAATAGGAGCTTCAAACCTTAAACAGGTAGTCCTTGAGTTACAACAGTTCATTTAGTGACCATTCAAAGTTACAATGGCACAGGAAAAAAAACTTATGACCATTTTTCATACTTATGACCATTGCGGCATCCACAGGGTCACATGATCAAAATTCAGACATTTGGCAACTGATTCATATTTATGACAATTGCAGTGTCTCAGGGTTATGAGGTCCCATTTTGCAACCTTCCAACAAGCAAAGTCAATGGAAAATCCAGATTCACTTAACAACTGTGTTACTAGCTTGACAACTGCAGTGGTTCACTTAACAACTGTGTCAAGAAAGGTCATAAAATGGAGGCAAAACTCACTGATGTCTCACTTAGCAACAAAAATTTGGGGCTCAATTGAGGTCATAATTGGAAGACTACCTGTAGGACTCTGCGTAATACAACCAAGACTTAAATGCACTATAGTTCCATGGATTGAATATTGAGATTTCTTTAAAATTGGATGTGATGGTTCCTCACCAGAGCCAAAGAAGCGAAATGTCAGGGACTAAAGGGTCAAAGTTCAGGTTAGCTCATTCCTACAACTTCCTATTATGTCTAAGCTAAGCATGTGCACTTTCTATAAGTGAGAAGATATCACTGTTGAAAAAAGTGTGTTATTGTTTACATAACAGTTGCTATTGTTATGCTGACTTCTAAAATGATTTAAAATTATTGCTTTGGCTCTTGCACATCCATAACACCTCTCTGCATTTCATTAAAGCACTCAAGGGACTCAAAGAGGAAAATTCTGATGAAAGATAAACAGGCTCAATATTTCCACACCTATTGTTCATTCAATTAATTGTGGCTAGGATATCATCTTGATTTAATACTTCCACTGAATCCACAATTGCTGAAAGTAATATCAACAGGGAAAAGAAAACAAACATAGAAAACTTTGGAAGTCCTATCGAGTTTAATAAAAGTTTTGACTTCTCTCCATTCAGAAGATGGATAGATGAAACAATGAGGAAGGGCGCCTTGAAAGTTGGGTGGGTATGTCTTTTATTTTTTTAAATGCCATAAAAGTAAATATTTTTGCCTGTAAAAATGTATCACCAATATACTTAGCAATACACAGCTCTGAGTCTGAAACATTTTTATCTGAAGAGCTCACTCTGAAGAAAGATGCCATGCTTTAATTTGGAAAGATAAACATAATCATAATGATTTGGAGGTTCCAAGACTCATTTATCAGGCGCCTTTTGACATTCATTATTAGTGTGATTCACCACATCTCACACACTGCTAAAGATAAAGACAGTCTTGGATTTAAGCCCAGCTCAGTCATTCTGTGTAATATCATGTGGTACAACAAGTTTAAAGGTGGAAGCCCTTTAAAGCAAATGGGATGTTTTTACAATGATCTCAATGGATCATGAATTAGATTAGTTTCTAAGGGATCACTTCCTATGAGAAGCTGTGACAAATTACATACTACATTCCGGCTATGCTTACAATCTTACAGAGAAAAATTTTAAGATTATTAAGCCATCTAAGTTGCATATCAAGATGCAAATACATTTTTAGTTTATTTTGTGAGGTCCTGATTACAAAAATTATAGAAAAAAAGGAAAAGGGATGTTTACTTGGTTTTGCAGTATGCCACAACACACATGATGCCAACAACAAGGAGAGCAATGCAGATGCCAGTTATGGTCAACACCCTTTTCTGGTAGAGTTCCTCAGCTTCTAGAAAATGAGAAAATATAGATGGTTATAATATGTACACTGGATGAAAAAACAAGAGACCACTAAATACAGCTTATAGTCTATCAACTTATAGCTACATTGAAAGTATGACAAACTTTACGCACAGAAATTACAAACTATACTCAGTATCATTGATGTGAGAAAACTTGAAATAAAAAAAAATTAAATTAAATGTAAGTTTAAATTAAATTTAAATTAAATCAAATCAAATCAAATCACAATTCAATGTTTTGTTTAACACAATTTAAAATTTATGAAGCCATCTAATGAAATAAAAACAAGGCACTGATAGAACAAGTTGTTTTGTTTAAAAATGGGGTTTTCTTGCAATGATAGCTGGGATAAAGATTGGACTTCTCTCCTCCCAATTTTCTCTTCACAGTCTCTTGTGGTAGTTTAAAATATCCAGGTGTTTTTTTCAATATTATCTTGCTCTACACAAAATTGCATAATTCATCAGGAACTGACAGTAACATTTAACTTTATCCACCCCTCCAATAGGCAATATGCATTGTATCATAGACATTATATGGTTGATTAAATAGTAAAGAAAAGATGATGATATTTGGGTGAAAACTGCAGTTCTACTGCAATGATCTCAGTCTAAGACATTATAATCAATATGAACTAATTCTTAGGGCAAACAATGTTTTGCCTGGAAAGATAATCACATTCCACTTGGCAAAACATAGTTTATATGCTAAACAAAGGAAATGATATATTTAGGACACTGATACCAATGGTGCACAGGATTAAACAACAGAGTAAGCCAGAACTTTGTATTTTTTTTAAAATCTTATTTGGTTGCTAAAATGTATTTAGCTTTTAATTTAAAATTGTGCAATCATATAGTTGCCAACCTCAAAGTAACCATTGTGTGAGCAGCCAACAGGAATTTGCATTCACAATGGGAATGTTTTTAGGAATATGACTATTCAGAATTAAAGAAAGGGGACTGGAAAAATCAGTATTCTTGGAAACGAGTTTGTCATCAATGGAACAGGATTTGAAAATCTGTTACTTTTCTGCTTTGCGATAGTTTGTATTTAGCAATTTCCTGGTCTGGTGATCTTTGTATGTTTGCAGATAAGACATCTGTTAGGACTTGCTTTGCCTTAGCCTGTTGTTTCAGATTGATTTTTGGCAATAAGCACTGTCAGGTCCAAAATTCCTGACTTCTGTGGTCATTGTTGCTCTAAGGATCCAAATATTTTCTTAGACACTGACCCAATATATAGTTTGACTATGTCATATTGGCCAAGATCCAATAACTGGCAGTGTCTGCTGATATGCAGGGCCGTTTATTGATATGTAATCATTTGGGGGGGGACGACATACTGTCTGGATTTTTAAAAAAATGGGAGATAGGATTTGATTAAATGCTTATTGCATAATTTTTAAATGCTATTTTCAGCACATGATATGGCAAAATGATCAAATTAAAGGGAGACTATACCCCTTTAGCTGAGAGTAAGTCCTAGTGAGCTTGGTAAAGTTTTCCTCTGAGTAAGCATATATAAGCTCATGTGAATGAAGGAATGTGAGTATGTTAACAGCTTTTGGTTTTCCCTTGAGTTTTCAGATCATAACAGATTAAAGGATAAAATATTTAATTGCAATCAATGGCTCCTTCATGTTTAGCTCCCCTTTGAGGAATCAATTATCCCCTGAAGAACATTTAGAGCTTAAATCTCCTGAGCTCCAAAGACACTTCTTTTTTTAGGACATTGATCATATTGAAATACCTTTCTTTTTTATTTCATTATCTAATACTAGTTTAAATGACAATAATTCTATGATTTGAGAATATCTGAAAACAAATCTGTTGTGATTTTATGATTTTGTTCTTACATTTCTCTTAGGTATAAGGAATAGGGCAAGCTATCCAGACACTAAATTTTCAGTCTCATTCACCATGAATTATGAATTTGTGTATAAATATCTTCCAACCTAGCAGTTCAAAAGTACGTAGAACATGCAAGTAGAAAAATAGGGACCACTTTGGTGGGAAGATAACAGTGCTCCGTGTTCCTTCGGCATTTAGTCATGCCGGCCACGTGACCACAGAGACGTCTTTGGACGGTGCTGGCTTTTTGGCTTAGAAATGGAGATGAGCACTGCCCCCTAGAGCCAGAAATGACTAGCACGCATGTGTAGGGGAACTTTTACCTTTACCTTATATAGGTTGGAGAAAGCAATGGTTATTATCTCTTTTAGATTCTTGTTAAGAGCCGTTAGTCATCCTTTCAAATCCCTTACATTCAATGGAATTTACACAAAGGAAACAGATTTTTAGGGACATAGTATATTTCCACCAATATTTTCTCTGTGATCATCTCCTCTCCAAACCTGGGCATTCCATGAAAAGTAGGTGTTTTTTTTTTAATGAGCATAACCTTATATATAACCTTACATAACATCCATGTTTAACTCTCAGTCTGCTTTTGGTACTACAGTTTGAAATTCCAAATAAACCAAAACTAAAATTTCAAAATGATCTTTCAAACCTTCATGCCTATGATACAATGCATATTATTGCTTCCTACAAGTCAATCCCAATGCAAACATTGATTAGCAAGTTTCTAAACATATTTATACAGAAATCAACAGTACTGATTATGAACAAAAGGAAGGATCAGTTTTGTGAGAAAATAAAACTAGAATGCTCAAATGATTACAGAAACAAAAATCCAAGAACAAGAAGTAGAAGTACTGAAATAAACACAAATATGGGAGGAGGGAGAGGAGAGAAAGAAGAAGGAAAGGAACAGATGAAGGAAGAGGAGGAAGCTGAAGGGAAATATAAGGTTAGAAGTTGAAAAGTCAATTATAGGCCTGGCACAGCATGCTTGATAACTGGAAGGAAGAATAAGAAAAATGCTTGGAAGTAAGACTGAAGCAGAGTTTAAAGGGATTTTACATACAGCATAACTCCTAACCTATGCTCGCCCGAAAGCAATGATTGATTAGCCAAATAGTGGAGTCTTATTACTATATAATCAGAGATAGCAAACACCATGCTAAACACAATCCAGTACATGGGGAATAATGCAGTTCTTAAAGGGTTAACGGAATTCTCTTTTTAGCATCAGTCAGTAATTGGTTAAAATTGTGTGACCTCTTCCCTCCTGCCCACAGCTTAGGATGGGTGCACAAATTGTGTGAGTTTTATATTAACCATAATTAATAGTATGTTTCCCCCCCCCCCCCCAGTGTTATAACACGATACATGTGATGTATTTTGCCTTCCTAGTGACATTTTTAATGGATGTTTAGTGCAATGTAAAAGCAGGGTGAGCCTTATTCAGTGTTCCCTCATTTTTTTCAGTCTCCTCATCCCTGATAGTCCTGCTCATCCTCTCTTGAGTTATGTGGTCTTGTTTGGAACTTTAATAATATGCATTTTCTGCAAAAAATCTCTTGTCAAGAGCATCCTCTTTTGCAGACTTTATGTCTCCTTTTCAATGGCTGCATTTATGCAGATACTATGGGGATACGAGGAATGTATTCACATTACTAAATCAACATTCTCTTTTCTCAATCTACTTGGCTTCTATTGTAGGCCACATGCAGCATGATGTGGGTATGGATATATATATTTTAATATAGCTCTGCATCCTGAAATTTATAGCCAATCATATGACATTGGGGGAAAGTCCTACCAGATAGTAAGGTTCTAGAAGTGGCAATGTAAAATAATTATGAAACAAGTATGAATAAATATGAAAAAATATGTCAGTCTGGTTGTGTTAGCCATAGGCTACGCTTTCCTTTCCTTCTTTTCTGATTGAGGCCATACAAGGGTTTAATATAATGTTGTCAGGCATGTAATGTGACATCAATACATATATTATACTGGACTGGCTGGGCATCATAGCGATGAAATCCTAAACAGCAGTGAAACAAAATCTTCCAGAGCTGAACAAAATATAAAAGGAAGAACACTATTTTGCCAATGGATGTCCACTCACTCATACTTGCACATCTGAAACATCACAATGGGCATGCAAGCTTATGTTTACAAATATAAGAGGTCAGTACCCACCACAACTTTAAAAGCATTTCTAGCCAAAACAGTTTAGATATTAAAATTTAAAGTAAAGTCTAGTTTAGAGTTTGAAGCAGCATTCAATTAAATAAAAATAGGAGATGAAGGCAACAAGTCAAAGCTGGTCATGTAGTAAGAACTGACCTTCCCATATCACCTCTTTAACCTCAAAATATATTTCTGGTCTGAATAACAAGGAAAGGATGGTAGCTCTGAAATAATTAATTACAGGTTCAGTCCCCATTTCTCTTTACTTAGAGCTGGAAAAACGAGTCTTAATCCTGAAGGCCCTTGGTAGCTTGGTCTTTGCATTTTATAGTGCCCCACCTTCTCTGTATTCCATCTCCTTTTCTCTACTGTCCATTGTATAGGTAGTCCTTAAGACCACAATTGACCCAACATTTACGTTGCCAAGCAAGACATGTGCCCCATTTTACGACCTTTCTTGCCACAGTTGTTAAGTGAATCTCTGTAGTTCTTAAGTTACTATCATTATGGTTAAGTGAATCTGACCTCCCCATTGATTTAGCTCATCAGAAGGTCACAAAAAGTGGTCACATGACCCTGGGAATGCATGTGAAAAATCATTAATGTGATAAGTGGCCATAAGTCACTTTTTTGGGGCTGTTATAACTTGGAACTTTGTCACTAAACAAATGGTTGTAAGTCAATGACTATCGGTATTACCTTTTTCCTTTGCATGGTGCAAATCCCACAAGTATTTTCAGTCCTCAATTGTTTTAGGGAAATATGCACATAAAGGTTATATAGAATGACTTCAAGTCACTCCTAATACTGGGGTCTTCAATTCCATTATTTTCCCAAAAGGAGATTTCTCCTTGTTATTTTTTGAATGTTTTACAAGTGGTTAATTTCATACGTGAAAATTGCATAGGTACTTTCAGAGATAGCAACAGTAATATATTGTTGCAAATTTTAAAAAGTATGCCAAGTTATTCATCAGTAAAGTTAATTTCCTATCTTTTGTAGGCATCTTAAGCACATTCCAGTGCTGTGTGTGCGCATCACTCTCTGTTTCTCTCTCTCACACACATATACAAACAGACACAAACATACACAGGTATGGTTATGACAGCTGAGTTGAGTGTAAATAGGGACAGAGTGTAACAGCCTGGCAAAGGCTGTTATCGCTGTATGATCCCTTTTGAAGCACAAGGAAGTTGGTTAGGAATTGAAGGTGAGGAAATGAAAAAAAAAGTTTTCAATCTCTCAGCAAGCTAAAAGGAATGATTGGTCCATACCCATAAATTCAATCCCAAGATGCTCTGGCAATGCAGAAAGTTGACATAAAAAAGAAAGAAAAGGAAAATAGTTTCAGAAAAGAGCAATACACCTTACTGAAAAAAACAAATTGCACATAGATATTATACCTATTAGGTGTTTGCACATTGAGACAAGACAAATGCTATAAGGTTAATGGTGCAGAGCTCATGTAAGCTTTCACAGGCTCTTTTTAAAAAACTATCTAGAAAAATATTGGCTCTAAATCAAACCACACAATGGTACCTGTATACAATTTAAAGAACACAATGACTTAACCAATGTATTTTAACCCTTAAAAATATTACTGAAGTGTCTGGGTTTAGTATATTATCTATGTCACATTTAAGGTACAAAATATCCCCATATAAAACATGTTCCTTAGTATACCTATGATCCATAGCGGGGAACTGATCTTGGAGTTCACTATACATAAAACTACACTGTTCCTTTTTTTTCTCAACCTTAGCAACTAAGATGTGTGGACTTCAACTCCCAAAATTCCCTAGTCAGCATTTTGAGAACTGAGAACTCTTTGAAGTTGGTGAGATTGAGAAACACTGCTTTAATCTGTTGCAGACAGAATTAAGTTTAGTCTACTCCAGGGGTGTCAAACTCACATCATCATATGGCAGTGTCACATGATGTATTGGCACTTTTCCCCTCTTCGCTAAACAGGGCATGGGCATGGCTAGCATGTGATGCTAGCATGTGATGCCTATGGGCTGGGAGTTTGACAGCTCTGGTCTACTCCAAGCTCACGTCAGTAGGGCCAAAGTGTAAATCTACACCATTCGTACCTGAAGTGGTAGTAGCCTCTTCTACTGTTTTAAAACTGATTTGGAATGCTTCTTAGATAAAAAGCAATGAGAAGGAAAAAAATATGAAAATTTTATATGTTATGGAGCCTCAGAAAAAAACCCAAGAACCAATCTAATCAGAGGCAGATTTATGAGTAACTTTATAAAACCCTGAAATGATGTATGAACAGAAAACTATGGTGTTACAGTAGATGATGATGAAGAGACTGTGTAGTTGCAAAAGACTACCTCCCAAAAGGGGCTACTGTAATTGTTGGAATCAATTCAGACAGCATAATTTGTTACAATGATACTGTACTGATACTTCAGTTAAAGTACAGAATTACTTGCTTTTTTCATTCATTTAAATCATTTGATATTATAGACAGACTAATATGGATTGAAAGTCTACTTCACTGCAATATTGGAAATGTGCATAATGCATGGGTTAATTTTTTTTTAAAAAATGATAATATTAGACATCTGACTTTATAAAACATTCAGTGATTACTCATAGCTTTGTATGTTATCATTTAATTCTTATATTAAACTATAACTGCTATATTTATCACTCAGGAGCAATTGCTGATTCCTTTCTTAATATGTATAGATATAGTATATTCATTTTCACTTCTTATAGGTTAAAATATTCCCAGCAGTGTATGTACAGTTTCCCTTTACAGTCATATTTTAAGGGTTAAATAAAAATGCATAGGTTTTTCCACATACTTAAGAGCCAGTGTTACTTGCCTACATGAACACTACTAACAAGTTACAATTGCATAGAAGTTTCAGTAGAATTAGTGACATGCTCATGCATAAATATTATTGCATATGGCAGTTCACCGGTAAGATAGACAACCCAGATGAATTTCAGATAAATTCATTAATTTCAAACAGCTTATATATGAAATAATTGAATGGAGATATTATATACATATATATATATATCTCCATATGTATATAATTTTCATTAGTTCATTCATTCATTCTGGTAGCAAAAATCATGCATAAGGAACATGCACTTCTTATTCTAACTCCAGAATAAATGTAAAACATTCCAATTAATATTTGAAATTCATATCTTCTCTTGATTTTGAAACTACCAACAGTCATGCTTGCTCATAAGTTCAGTTCTAAAATGATTACTCCATACACTCACGGTATTACATTGCTGCTATGATTTTATTTGCTATGCTTGCCTTGAATGTTAAAATTTATAATAACTTATTTAAATAATTATTACACAGGGACACAGCCTATAAATAGCAAAGTGATAGCACTTTGCTGTTAAAATTCGGAGACTAGGTTTTCACTGAGTTGTGGGTGGGGGGGAGCAGCTTTGTAATTTTTCTTTTTGCTTGCTTGTTTACGCAGTTCTGCCTATGTGGACATGTGACATACCCCCTAAGTATCATTCTGTAGTGCTTTGAAATTGAGCACAATTATCATCATCTATGCATGAAGTTAATGATATTACCAACATTGTAACGAAACAATTTAAAATCCAAAATAATTTGGCTTTAGGATACAGCATAATGATTTATTCTATTATCTCCTTAGGAACCCCTCTTTTTTTCCCCTGCCTCTAATTTCAAAGTTATATAAGCCTGAACCAGGTAAAAATTACTTTTAGTAATTTTGCTGACTGTCTTTTTTGCAACAAAGGAGATTTCTATGTTGCCTAAAACTGGTGGAGCTCTGTGTTTAGTATTTATTTGATTTGTCAATTGCTTACAAGATACAGGTATAAGAATAAACATAGTTTTGAATACATTAGATACTTATAAGAAAAATAAAAAGAAACAATAGGACAGGGACGGTAGGCATGGTTGGTGCGCTTATGCACGCCCCCTACAGGCCTCTTAGGAAGGGGGTGAGGTCAATAGTAGACAGTCTAAGGTTAAAGTTTTTGGGGTTTGGGGAAGAAACCACAGACTCAGGTAGAGTATTCCAAACATTGACCACTCTGTTGCTGAAATCGTATTTTCTGCAGTCAAGTTTGGTGCGGTTAACCTTGAGTTTGTATCTATTGTTTGCTCTTGTATTGTTATGATTGAAGCTGAAGTATTCATTTGCAGGTAGGACATTGCAATGTATGATTTTATACACTATATTTAGATCAGACCGAAGGCGGCGTAGTTCTAGGTTTTCTAGGTCTAGAGTTTCAAGTCTTGTGGCATAAGGTATTCTACAATGAGTAGAGGAGTGGAGAACTCTTCTTGTGAAATATTTCTGGACTTTTTCAATTGTACTAATATCAGATACATGATATGGGTTCCAGACTGATGAGCTGTATTCAAGTATAGGTCTAGCAAATGTTTTGTATGCTCTAGTTAGTAGTGTGATATTACCAGAGAAGAAGCTACGTAGGATTAGATTAACAACTCTTAATGCCTTTTTGGCTATATAGTTACAGTGGGCTCTAGCACTTAGATTATTTGAGATGAGTACTCCAAGGTCCTTGACAAAGTTAGGATCCTCAACAAGGTCTTGACTATTTAGCTTGTATTTTATTTTATGATTTTTTTTGCCAATATGTAAGACGGAGCATTTATTTGTTGAGATTTAAAGTTGCCATTTGTTTGACCATTCTGACACATAGTCGAGGTCTTTTTGAAGGCTAGCAGTATTGTCTGTGGTGTTGAATAGCTTTACATCATCAGCGAAGAGAATGCAGTTGCTCTTAATATGATCACAGAGGTCATTTATGTAGAGTATGAAGAGAGTTGGTCCTAAAACACTGCCTTGGGGGACACCACTGTTGACAGGTACAGAATTTGATAGGATGCTCCCAATTTTGACTTGTTTGAATGCCAACAAGGTAATGTAAAATTTATCCGCAAAACTAATCTTAATCAGCTGAAGATGGAATGCAGTTAAAAGGCAGGCTGGTGGGTATCAGAGGCGGTTGTTAGGGAGCAGGCACCACGGCTGGCAATTAGGGAGGATGGATTGGGGCCACGAGAGGTTGGTCATAATAGTGGGCTACCCCCAAATATTCATCACATGGTTATGAGGGGGCTGCTATGGTTGGAACTTTGAAATTGGGTTATAAATCCATTTTTTCAGCACCATGGTAACTTTGAACAGGCATTGAATGAATGGACATAACTTGAGGACTACTTATGTCCCTTACAACTGGAAACCACTGAGAATTACATTTTGTGATGTTGCAAGAGTTATTGATGAGATTAATATACAAGAAGCAATCTGGCAATTTTCTAAAACGTTATTTGTATCAGGAGTAACTACAACTTACAGCAGTACTATGTCTACTGTTTTTTTTATTCATTTTATCTTAGGCTACATTATAAAATAAATCCTCATTAGGTGTTTTATAGCTTCTCACATAATATACAGGCGAACTACTGCATAAATGTAACTTTGAAGTTACTATTCTAATTAGCAAAACAAAAACAAAACCCTTTTTTTGTATATCTTCACTTATATCTGACATTTTGAAACTGCTTCTTTTTGGATTATTTTTGTAGGATGCAAATGTATATACACTGAATACATTATTAATGCTTTGATACATACATTTTAGGTGAAAGGGCTGTCATGATGTGAATGTATTTAAGGAGTCCAGAATATTTTAATGTTCAGATGGAGTTGAACTATCTATCTATCTATCTATCTATCTATCTATCTATCTATCTATCTA